GGGGGGGGGGGGGGGGGGGGGGGGGGGGGGGGGGGGGATGGCGTGTGTGTTTTGGAGGGGGTGGAAGAGTTATGGGTCTTGATGATTCTAAACTCACGAGTAGCCTTGTTAAGCTTAGTTGTTATTATCATCATTGGAACAAACTCGGATATTCTGATAATCGTTATTTGCCGAATTTGTTTCTCATTCGAGTCTACTGAGCGAACTACTCTTAGACAACGTTATAGGACAATCCTTTTATCCACAGATTTTATTTATTTATTTTTGTGGGTTTTTTAATTTTTATTTTTGCTCTAATCTAGCTCCAGCCCCACCCCCTTAAAAACGTGTAAAAAAACCTGATGGAGCTTTTCCTATTAATACAAACAAATTTTAATAGACTTTCTGACTTTCGCTTTCTCGTGCCATCCTGTTGGTGGAGTCGCCCCTGTGATGTTTGTAACACCCTTCTATACAAGATATCTAGATTTACTATTCATACATCCAAGGTCAAATCCAAGCTGAAGGGAAAAGTCCATAAAACAAAGTAAAAATCTTCCCACCCCCCAACCCTGTACATCGTTAACGACCCCCAGTCCAAGTCTATAACACCCCCAACCACTGTTTTTCCACCCCCCCCCCAAACCACAAGTTTTGTTGAGGGAAGCAACATCTCAAAGGAGTCACCAGCATTACTGTGTCGTCTGCTCTCATCTGTCCATGAGCTCTCCCCCCCTCTCTCTCTCTCTACCCTCTACACCCGTTGAGCTCTAACTCTTTAGAGAGAATAATAAGAAGAAGAAGAAAAAAGAAAGAAACAAAAAAAAAAAAGTTTCAATTACAATTTAAGACCGATCTTGAAATGATCTACAGAACGAGACCCACAGAACTAGACCCACATCCATGTTTTGATAAGTTTTTCATTGATCCCACTCACCGACCACCACTCCCCCATGTTACCAGACTCCCTATTACAAATTTAAAAAAAAAAAAAAATTATAGAGAATATTCCATAAATTGTGTGGAATTGTTCGTTGTGATTATTTAGATGAAGTCAGTATAATACTCGAAGACATTTTGGTGGGTTCGGGTGAAAAAAAAAAGGGGGGGGGGGCGATGTGGAAGTTGTGCGCATGAAATAAAAAAAAAAAAAAAAATTATAGAGAATATTCCATAAATTGTGTTGAATTGTTCGTTGTGATTATTTAGATGAAGTCAGTATAAAACTCGAAGACATTTTGGTGGGTTCGGGTGAAAAAAAAAAGGGGGGGGGGCGATGTGGAAGTTGTGCGCATGAAATACAATAGTTACATTTAAACAATTGCTGTCAAATAATAGTGCTTCCACTGTCTTTCAGACTTCTTGCATTTTTATCACAATGCATGGCGCGTCAAATTCTTGCCACTTGCGTGAAACACTTCTTGCACTCCGACACTTGCATTTTAATAAAGGGCCGCTACAATAAATGTTTGTTTTTTTTTTAAAAAAAGAACTGTCTCTCCAGCTGAATGATGTGCCCCTTTAATTGGACTTTTCAGACAGAAGATTTCTCAAACTGGTCATCTCCGACGGGAGACCTCTGGAACTGGGTTTTCATTTAGTTAACAGATGTCTGCCAGTAATTGAAATGGGGGTTTGACATGTCTGGTGTCACATTTTCGATGTTTGACATTGCCTGGTGCCACATCCGGTGGATACTCCCGGACGTCTTTCGTGGCACTGAGGAGCTGGAAGAAGGATTTGGGAGGGCATGTGGTCTCGTGAACATAGTTTCATGTTGAGGGATTGCTGTAATAAAAGAGGAAAGCCTTTAAATACAAACAAACAAAAAAAAGAATGGCGATTATAACACAAGGTGCATGCTATAAAGACAAATTTAACAAAAGGCACTGGAAAACTTAACAACAGGTTCTGGGAAATTCTGACAATTTAATTTGAAATTATTACAAATGCTTCTCATGCTATAAAATAAGCATTTTTTAAGAAGAAATCTTTCTAAAGTTGTAAAAGCTATTCAATTTTTTTTTTTGTCTGTCTAAACCTCATCTGAAGTATGACACGCAGATAACATTTGATTTATCAACAATTTTCAATTTATTGTCCGTGCACATATTATGTAACATAAAAATATAACATTTTTTGAACCACCCCTATCCTTTATAATTTTAGATAACATTTTTGACCCAGGGATAGGGTTATAACTTTATATAACATTTGTACATTTTCATTGAGCACCCCCAACATTATGTAACATTTCTAGTACCCCCTTTCCCACCACCACCACCTCACAAACAAACAAAAAGAAACACCCAGCAAACAAGCAAATTTGAAGCAAATTATTTTTTAACACAAATGTGCTAATTAATGTAAGCAAAAAAAAATACATTTTACTTAAGCCACCACTTACACCACACAATAAGCCACCACTAGCACCACCCCATAAGCCACCTCTAGCACCACCCCATAAGCTACCACTTACACCACCCCCATAAGCCACCACTTGCACCACCCCATAAGCCACCACTAGCACTGTCCCATAAGCCACCACTTGCACCACCCCATAAGCCACCACTAGCACTGCCCCATAAGCCACCACTTGCACCACCCCATAAGCCACCACTAGCACTATCCCATAAGCCACCACTTACAACACCCCATATATCACGCTATAAAATATGATAAGCCACCACTTACCCCACCCCCCGTTCACGTTGTTTTAATATGTCCACTGTCCTTTACGTGATACGCAACTTTTAATAATTACATATAACTAAAAAAAAAATTTGTTTTTTTTTTTCTCCAGGATTTTCTACAGCAAACATCGAATATCAGAAGAAAACCCGGTTGTCGAGATAAGCACTCTTCTCCGAGTTCATGTCACGTGGTCTGCTGGGCATTTTGCTGTCAATTGCAATTTCCATAGCGAAGCCGGTCATTCAAAGGGATACCATTTGTCTTTGAGTTATCTTTTCTTGGAACACTTCTGAGATAGCTGATAGAAAAAGTTACTAAAAAAAAAAACGTCCAATAAGATTCATCTTTAAGAGATCTATCAATCAAGACTGAAAGGACAGCCTCACATCTCCCCAACACAATCATCTTATCTTATCTGAATCCTGCGGTATATCTCTTTGGTGTAGGAGGAGGCGCGCATCGCAAGGCAAGATTGTTGACAGGGGACAGTACTGTGTATCAGATTCGGACAACTCATATCATCTGTGAACTGTTGTTATCTCGCTATCGGGCAATGGCCAGGGTATAATTCCAAGGTGATGAAACATTTGACGCTAAGCTTACTACACAAGGTATTTTACTGCCCTCTATATCTGACAGTGAGCCTCGGCGTATATAGGGAAATACCTGGACAGCACGCGAGAGAGTTCACCTCCGTTACAAACAAACAAACCAGCGTAGCAACAAACAAAACAAAAAGCGAGGAATTCAAACAATTAGCTAACGACGAGTTAGTCCCCATTATAGACTAAGGCTGATCTCCCCCTGCTCCTACTGCTGAAAACTCTATGTTGCGCAGTCCGGCTGAGATAGGATATTTCTACACCGGAGATTTTTTTTTAAAAATCACACCAACACCGCACGTGGCTTGTGTGTTTTTGTGGGCGGTAATCCGGTCCGGATTAAAGGGATTGAACTCGGAGGTGTGAACTCCAGGTTGGAATTTCGAGACGGCCGGCGGTTGTGGGACTCGGTGTCAGGGGCAGATAACTCAGGTAGTGCATTCTTTGTGTCCGCGGCTGGCGCAGAAACAATTTTAAGCGGCCGCCCCTAAGCCCGAAAGACAACGAAGATTTTGAGATAAGGATTTGGATATAAGTTCGTCCGCTCCGAGCTTACAACAGTCACTCGAGTGCCCACCGGTCGGGCTGAAGACATCCCTCACACTATATTGGATATTCATTCTTTTTAAACAGTGGATTTTCTTCCTTGTAACTGAAAAGTCGAGGAGTATGGCTTATTTGTGAGTCTTATTGCATCGATCGTATTTTTTTTAAACTATTTTAAAAAAAAAAATAATAATTCAAGTTTTAAAGATTCTCGAAAACATTTCTGAACAATGAATTTGTAATAATAAAGTTATAATTTTTAAATAAATTGACTCGTTGGATTAGAAGCAACCCTCGAGATTGAATTTTAAAAAAATGGATGCACTCTCTAGCTCTGTGTGGTTACTGATCGCCTTTGGGGTACTCGCGTTGTCCGGTGCACAGAAGACTCCGGAAATCACCTACAACATCACCGAAGAACTGCCCCTCGGTACCAAAGTGGGCAGCATGTCCGACCTGCCCAACTTCTTCTCCAACGTCACCGACCGGAAGCAGATTCAGTACATCATCCTGGGCCAGGGCAGTCCGCTGTTCAACATCAGCAGCGCTGACGGCGTCATCACGGTGGCGCAGCGGATAGACAGGGACGTCCTGTGTCCGGTGCAGAGGGATTGCGTTCAGAACATCACCGTTGTGATCAATCAAAACCGGAACTCCGGCTACGAAAGCCGGGTGGTGGCCGTCGGCTTCAGAATCATCGACATCAACGACAATGCCCCCAGATTCGACCTTGAGAAGATCGTTCTGAAGTTCACGGAAGGGAATTCCCCGGACTCGGTTCTTAAAATCACTGGTGCGAACGACGCGGACTTTAACCCCGAGTTCAAGGTCAAAAACTACGCGCTCAACAAGTTCAGGAACGTATTCGACCTGTCGGCGTCGAAGGCTTTGGACGGGAGTTCCGAAATAGAACTACGCCTTAGAAAGTCTTTGGACCGGGAAACTGTACCACTATACGACTTCACGATCACCGCCTACGACGGCGGGTCCCCGCCCCTGTCATCTGTGCTGAACGTCACCATAGAGGTGACCGACGTGAACGACAACACCCCTGTCTTTCTCAACCACACGTACGCCGTGTCGCTGGATGGGAAAATCTCGATCGGTACGGTCATACTTCAAGTCTCAGCAACGGACGCCGATGAAGGAAAAAACGCCCTGGTGAGCTACGATTTCAGCAGCATTCATAAAACCTCGGTTGAACACTTTTACCAGATCGACCCCGCCAGCGGAAACATCTCCGTTGTCGGTCCTCTGAAACCCGGGACCATGGAATTTATCGTGGAGGCGCAGGACTCCGGAAATCCTCCGCTGAAGATCCAAACTTACGTCAGTGTCAATGTCGTGAACACGGGAAACACGCCACCCCGAGTTTCTATAAACACCCTCGGTGGCGGCTCGGACCGTAACGCCGTGGCGTCAGTCCTCGAGCCGGGGGGTCGAGGTCTCTTCGTGGCCCTGGTCAACGTCGATGACGACGACGGCGATGACGTAGCCTGCGTCATTAGCAATGAGGTGTTCAAGATGGAGCCCGTGGAGAACAAGGGGTACAAGATCGTACTGCAAGGCACGGTGGACCGCGAGACGCGAGACACGTACAACCTGTCGGTCGCGTGCGTCGACAAGGGAGACCCGCCGCTCAACACCACCGCCTACCTCACGGTCAAAATCCAAGACGCCAACGACAACGCCCCTGAATTCACGCAGAACCGCTATTCGAGGACGCTCCTGGAAGGGAGAAAGAAAAACGAGTTCGTCTTGAAAGTCAGCGCCGCAGACAAGGACGCGGGTTCGAACGCTGAAACTGTTTACAGCTTCGACCCAGACTACAGGTCATTCTTTGCCATGGACCCCAACACTGGGGTCATCACGGCTGTCGGGGATCTGGACAGGGAGGCCACCCCGGTTATGAAATTCAACGTCTTCGCCACCGACAAGGGTGCTCCGCCCCTGACCAGCACGGCGGAGGTCGTCGTCATTCTCGAGGACGTCAATGACAACGCCCCTGAGTTCGACACCAAAATATTCAGATTTCAGGCCTTCGAGGAAGTGCAGAATGCCTCGATCATTGGGGTCCTGGCCGCCCGGGACCTCGACGAAGGCGCCAACAGTCAAATGGACTTTTTCTTCACCGGTTCCCTCGACGGTGCCGACGGCGCCTTTTCGGTGCTGCCGAACGGCTCGATTTTGTCCACGTCCAAGCTCGACCGGGAGGAAAGGGTCAACTACTCGTTCTCCGTGATGGTGCGGGACAAGGGAAACCCCCCTTTGATGTCCACGGCGAGTGTCGTGATCGAAGTGCTAGACATTAACGACAACGCGCCGATCATCTTGTTCCCGAAGACGCCGAATCACACGATCCTGATCTCAACGTTCCCGGAACCCGGCGCCATCCTGAGCAAGGTCATCGCCTATGACGATGACGCCGGCGAAAACGGTACCCTCAGATTCACCTTGAATTCCGGAAACGAGGACCGCGCCTTCGAGATCACGGAAGACACCGGCGAGTTCAAGATCACAAATCCGTCAAATCTGAAGAACTTCAAGCGGTACGAGATCGCCATCACGGTCTCGGACAGAGGTCAGCATCCCAAGTTCAACACGACGTCGCTGAAGGTGGACGTCCAGTTCGACAACATGACGAGAGAACTCGCCATCGGTGGCGGTCACAAGAAACAGGAGGACTACATCATCATCGTCGCCGTCGTGGCGGCGGTGACCGTGGTCTTCTCGACGCTGATCATCGTCGCCATCTGCGTGGTCTTCCAGAAGGACCGGGTCAGCCACCGGAAGAACGCCCCGAAGGGAGATTTCCACAACATGCACGTCTCCGACGGGTTCAACGACGAGGAGAAGGTGAACACGATCGTCCGCGACTCACCCTTCGTCGCCAGCAATCAGCCTTACTCCATGAACAACTTGTCGTCGCCGCCCAGTGGCGACAAGCAGCTGGGAGGGGGCGAGGACGGGACATTTTTTCAAGTGAAGCACGGCCACCCGGGCCACAACGAACAATTCCAGAACTCAGGCAAGGGAAAGGCTGTTAGTTTCAGCATCGACGAGACGGCCACGCCCTCGCCGAGCTCTCGCCACGCCTCTCCGAGGGACGAGACCCCGCTGTTCTCAACGTTCGGCTCCCCCCACAGCAGGTCCTGTGACGGAGACATGTACCAGCAGAGGTCATCTATGATGCGACAGGTCAGTGGTGTGAAATATGCGCCAGTCAGCACGTGTGTGCATGTAGGTACACTCAGTGTCATACATTGCATGCTCTGTGGCTCTCAATAGTTGTAGCACTTTTCCTAGCACTTTTTTTTTACTCCCGTCATAGGTGTAGCCACCATTGCTGGTAGCTCTCATTAGTAGTATAGCTCTTATAAGTGGTAGCTTATGTTAGCCATAGCTCCCATTAGTGGCAGCTTTCATTATCAGCATCTCTCATTAGTGGTAGTCTGCATTAGCTGTAGCTCTAATTATTTGTAGCTTATTCTGGCTGTAGCCCCTAGTAAAGCACTCTAACTCAATATGTGAAAGGCTGAATCTCACCACAGAACTAAAACTTACATTAGCAATTCTCACATATCTTCTTGGATGATTCATATAACATAGGTACTACAATAACATAAGTACTACAATAACATTAGTACTACAATAACATAAGTACTACAATAACATTAGTACTACAATAACATTAGTACTACAATAACATAAGTACTACAATAACATTAGTACTACAATAACATTAGTACTACAATAACATTAGTACTACAATAACATTAGTACTACAATAACATTAGTACTACAATAACATTAGTACTACAATAACATTAGTACTACAATAACATTAGTACTACAATAACATTAGTACTACAATAACATTAGTACTACAATAACATTAGTACTACAATAACATTAGTACTACAATAACTATATATAGCTAATCGCTGGCGTTATACGACCCTATTTATGCACAAATATAGCTCAGTAAATGCATGCCTGCAAAAACAACCTGTTGTACCCGGATGTTCTAATATTCCAGCACTTTTTCTATTTACTAACATTTTTTTTTCTTCGTAAGTCATATTTACACATTTTCTAATGTCCTTATATTTATAGTCCTCTAGTTTTTGAAGTTATTTCTCTCTTGTAATAATTGGCATAAATATCTGTTGTTGTTTTTTTGTTTTTTTGTAAACACCTGTCTCACATTCCCTGGACCTGTATCGGCTAAGTAAAAATAAACATTAATTAATGCATAAGATGCAATATTTACGCTTAAAGGGCGTATGTTTCTCGTATGTTTCTCGTATGTTTCTCCGGGTTTGAATTTTAACAGTCACTAGATTCAGTTTTTTTTTTGTTTTTTTTTTCTTTTTAAATAAAAATTTTTAATGAAAGAATAGTAAACACTGGCGTAGCTAGGGATACTGCCGCGTGCTCTCTAACCCAGACCGTTTCTTATACTTGCCTCTCTAAACATGAATACGGACCGCCACTGTGCACCAGCCCTAAATGCCAATAGCGCCGCATATCAGATTTTGGCAACTGGACGCAGACGCACGGACAGAAAACAGAACACACATTTTTAAAAATTAATATTGACCCCATTGATTCTCCGCGTCATCCAACTCCTTATGTACGGTTCAATGACATTATTTTCAAACTGCAACAAACTTTCTTTTAATCTTGTACATGTCAAGGTGGAAACATTAAAAAGGGGGTACAAAGGCCAAGATTAACAGCTCTGCTAATGTAAATACCACCTTTGCCCTTCTAATAAAAAAATATAAAAAACTCTTTATCGCCGTATAGTTTACCAGTAACTGAATCCCAAACTCACTTTAAAGACAGTCACAACTATTCCGTAACACCTGGAGAAAATTTGAGCCCATGCCCCCCCCCCACCCCCCCCCCCACCCNGAGTCCTTGCCGCCCCCCCACCTCCCCCCCACCTCCCCCTCCCACTGCACCGCTGACATTGCTGTTTCTTTTTTTTTTTGTCCAGAACGACGACGTCACGAGTGACACCTCGGCCGACACCACCACCAGTGACAGTGGGCGGGGCAACAGCGTTGATGACGTCAATTTTGATCAAATCATGAAAGGTAATTATGTTTACTTTTTTCGGCATTGTTTTATGCGTTTAACTCAAAACTATGTTGGATCAAAATACAAATTACAAGCGGTGTTAATTTCAAAGTCTGAAACGTTTAATGTTATCTTGGACTGGGAAAAATAGGAATTTCTTTAAAAAGACAGATTTGTAAAAAAAAATAAAAAAAAAAAAAAAAATTAAAATTTATTTTTATTTAAAGCAATAGTCTAAAATTAGAGTAGAGAAGAATTGTAAAATCAAGTCTGTTCGTACCGCTGTTGTCACAGCTGCCTTGTGCATTGTGAATCTTAGTTTATCAAATAATTATATTTAAAATTTTAAGATAAGAGAGACTACAGGACGATATTATGATAGGGCTACGTCCAAATCATGCGTAGAGCAAATAAATAGAGGAACACGATAGGTTTAGTTTTGGCATTAAAACACAAGACTGAGTGGAGCGGATGTTTCGGCAGGATGCCTTATTCGGCTGACAGTGAAATGCATTTTTTTTTAAAAAGAGATTAATTTAAATATAAAAAATTAAAAAAAAAATAATAATAATAAAGCTTCTGTTTATGAAGATCTCAAAGTCAGTGTAGATCAAAGTTCGAAACATGAAGAGCAACAGTACCGTAGAGGGCCCTAATGAGGCGTCTGGCCGATACGTGCGATTCATTGTCCAGTCTTTTATTTTAATTAAAGGCTTACCGTATTTTGAGACTAACAAAAATATTTACTTGTGTTTCATCTAAAATTCAATCGTTCTTCTGTGTTTCAGGCGAACTGTCCCCTCGGCTCAGCTCGCGCAGACGCAGCGACGAGTTCCAGATGGCGCCCAGAAAGACAATGGCGCCCGACACCCTGGGCAGGGCGTCGTATCACGTCAGGTTCTCCCAGACGCCCGACAAATCGTTCCCGCCCGAACTGCCCCCCAAGCAGAAATCCTCCTCCAACCCGTACGAGGGTGGGCGCCACTTCTCGCGGGTGGAGTTCAAAGACAATCCGTTCGCCAGCAAGATGATTGGGGTGCACGGCCAACATCTACCATCGGCGGCGAACAATAACATGCACCAGAAACTCAACCTACTGGCTTCACGTCAGCTGTCGGTGACGTCGATGGACGACGACGCTTCCACCACGACCTCCGGGAGCTACGTCATTAACCCAGATGACTTCAGGATGGAGACCTTCGTGGGTTCCGACGTGATTGTGTAAGAATTGATTGTGTGAGCAGTGGCCATTGCGTAAACAGTGATTGTGTGAGCAGGTGTTTCCGAAATCAAATTTGGTGTTAAATTAACTGTTAGCACTATTTAAATTTCATGGCTTAAGGAAAGACCTTCTCAGAACTATTTTACATTAATGGGATGAGATGAGCACTAGAAGGCCTGGCATTCATCTCAGATAAGTTTTTAAGTTCAAACTCAAATGTAAAAACTCTAAGTCACATGGATAAATAAGTTGGATTGTGGATAAAGATGACTGATCCAGGATAAAGACGTTGGACACCAAGCACAACTTACATCTATGAATATAATATGCTTTTTAACTATTTGTATGTTGTTTTTTTACACCAGATTTTACATCACATTTACACCACATTTTTACATCATATTTTACACCACATATTACACCACATTTGACACCACAATTTTACATCACATTTACACCATATTTTACAACACATTTTTACATCACATTTACACCACATTTTCACCACCTTTACATGAAAATATTCCAACTCTACCATTGGAAAAAGAAACACCATGACTTAATGAACCCTTACCATCCGGCTAACTTACACAGACCACCACTCACCATTCAAACAGGGCATGGATTGTGCAACATATCACCCCCGTGTTGCTTTAAGTGGAGACCACCACTCACCATTCAAACAGGGCATGGATTGTACAACCTGTCACCCCCCCCCCCCCCCCCCCCCCGTGTTGCTTTAAGTGGCAGTGGTTGGCATTTGATCTTTGATCATTTGTCACATGAGGTCAATTTTTACATATATACAAAAAAAAAATACTTTATGTTAATTTAAAATCACCCTGATATGTGTTCACTACTCACACCATAATAATAAGGAAAACTTGCGATATTATATTGTACAGAATTGTGTACAGAAATGTTTTGATTCATGTGTGTTGCGTACAGCTATGCCATTCTAATAACTTATGCAAATATTTTTTTAAAAAATTGTTGCTATTGTTTCCCTGTAATTATTTTGCATGAATCATCTAACCTTGTTCAAATTAAAGATACCACACGACTGACCGCATTGACATGAAGTTATGTAACAAAGTCAATGATGAAATAAAGGAATGAAGTATTGGAATAATTGCTTTGATGAAACATTGAATAAATTATGTAATGTATTATCTTTTTTTTTAGTGAACCTATTTATAGTTCTTCACATATTTTTTTTTTTTTTTTTTTTTTTTTAATCTTTTTTTTCATTGCAAAAATTTTTTATTTTTTTTTTTTTTTTTTTATTGAACCTATTTTTAGTTTTTTTCTTTTTTTTTTTTTTTTTTTTTTTGTTTAATCTATTATTTCATTGCAAAACTCTCCTTACCAGCAATATGTGTAATCTTGTACAAGAATAATTTAAAGCGGTTTTTGAAACTCAACTCTGCACACATTGAGTGCCTAACAGCAGCATTGTACACGGGGTCCATCCATCATTAGATGATACAACTATCCTTATGATCTTCTTTCATTTGAATTGTTAATTTTTTAAAAAAATATATATTTTTTTAATTTGAAAGAAATAGCCTGTGTAAAACAACAGAGATAGACGTGTCAAGGGGATATATCTAGGGCATCCAGATAGTGTACTTCTGCCCCCCCCCATTCCCCGTTTGCCCCCGCCCCCTTTTTACAGCTGTCAATTTAACAGTCCTACAGTCAACCAGGTGGTGAGACACCCCCACCCCCCAAACCCAATTTGCCAAAGGACCACGTGTCTGATGTTTCAAGCAGGCCGCCATTTGAGCAACTTAAGTTACCAATCTTTTTCATAGAGACTCACCAGTAATAACATTTGAAGACATTTGAAATCATAATGGATATATTTTTTTTTTAAATTCTAAAATGAGACTATTAATGAGAACTTTATGAACAAGAAGAAAGTATCACTGGTCACATGACATTTTTTCTTTAGAGGCAGCCAGGTTTTTTTTCAAATTTTCTTTTTTTTTACAATTTCTATTTAAATGCAATCTCAACTGGCCTTGACACTGGTAACATTCCTTTCTTACAAGTTTAAAACAACTCCAGAAATATACACGATTTTTAAATAACTCTTTTTTTTTTAATTGAATGAAAAGTTTTAAGAGAGAGAACACTCTACATTTTTAGAGTATGTGTTTTATTTTACAATTTATATGTCATGGATTTATCAAATTTAAATTGAGTTTTATTGTGTACAAAAGTGTCACTTAAATTATGACATTTTTTTTTTTTACCTGTAACATTTATTGTGTTTCAATGATGTTTTTATTTATTTATTTTTTTTACAATGATAAACATGATTATTGGTGACAGTTAGTGACAGTTAGGAAAGTGATGTTTGTGTGAATGTCTATGACAGCATAGAAAGTGATGTTTTTTGAACGCCCATGACAGCATTGAAAGGGATGTTTGTGTGAATGCCTGTAGCGGCACAGAAAGAGATGTGTGTGTGAGTGCCTATGACAGCACAGAAAGGGATGTGTGTGTGAATGCCTATGACAGCACAGAAAAGGATGTGTGAATGACTATGAAAGCAAGTGATGTTTGTGTGAATGCCTATGAAAGCACAGCAAGTGATCATGATGTGAATGCCTAAGACACATGTGATATCAGTAGAGTCAAAGGAGCATTGGAATTGTACATAGTTGCGCATGAGAACCTCTAGATGAACATGCTGTCAGTAAGGAAGTGGCGGGAGGGGGGGGGGGGGTCTGGGGCCCAGGGTTTTTTTAAGTAAACTGACCACTTGATGCATTACTATTCTTGTATGTGTCTCCGCAACTGTTATTGTAAATAAAATATGATTTTGTACCACGTTATGTAAGTCTTCATTGAATCATTTCACACATAGTCTATATTCACACATAGTCTATATTCACACATTGTCTATATTCACACATTGTCTATATTCACACATTGTCTATATTCATACATAGTCTATATTCATACATAGTCTATATTCATACATTGTCTATATCTCATATTGACAAATAGTTTATATCTCATATAGACACATAGTCTATATCTCATTTCCAAACAAAGTCTTATGTCTCATATTCACTCAGAGTCTAGATCTCTGTCTTTATTACTGGCTTCTTCTTAGGTTGCTCTGTCCGTTTGTTTGTTTGTTTGTTTGTTTGTTTGTTTGTTTGCTTGTGTGCGGTGAAATCTTGCAGTTCAATGCTGACCCACTTCCTGATCTCCAGTTGAGCTGAACCTTGGTACACCTACCCCCCCCCATGCCCCCCTCCCCCGATGACTATACAACCCGCATGATCAGTAGGTCCCCAGTGACCTCCACTGACCCTTGAGTGACCTCCGCGGGTCAAATCTTGCATCTCAGTTTTGAGCCCATTCATGAACTCACAGCTTGTTTTTTTTAACGTATCTTTTTATATCGTTTTATTTGTTAAGAGACCCAAGGAGAGTGGACCGCGAACGCTTTAAACGCAGCGTTTTCAGTCGACCGGACATCCCCCAGGCCGCACGGTCTGGCGGCGGGGAGACCCGGCGTCGGCCCGTGTGGGGGGGGTGTGCCTGAGGTGGGGAATATTAAGTGCTCACGTTCGACGACCCACCGACGCCATCTCCAATGTGAGGTTAAGAGACCAGCTTCGGTTGTGGGTAGACAACAAGGCATGGGATTTGACCCCTTTCCCTGCCGTTGGAAGATGAAGTAGTGGGGCGTATCCAGGACAAACATGATATTCGTATTTGACAGGGAGAGGTGACCAAAAGAAATGGTACTTAAAAAACTAACAAAAACAATAACAAGGAAATTAAATGTTGAATGGAGATATCAAATGCATTGTAGGTCTCAATGAGAGATGTTGGTGTCCAGCTTCATCACAGCATGTCAATTAAAAGGTCTGACTGAAAATTGAAATGTTTATATAAAATAAGAGAACACCGTTATACGGTAGACCAGGGGGGAGTCAACGGCAACAAAGCATCCACATGTTCGTCCTCTACAACACATTACAAATGGCGAGTTCCCAAACATTTGGAAACATTTGAAAAGACCTAAGTATTTCGATGTAATATTTTAATCTAATTCCTCGTCGTAAGAAGCAAATGGAGCCCCGACAGGACGTAATCGTGAGAACCACTTCACCCCCGTGGCCACGACCACTTCCGATGTGTGGAAATAGATCCCCTAATACAAACGTTATCGCGGGCCGATGTTCAACAATCACAATCTTCTTGGGGTGACAATGGCCTGTGTGATGTTATCGATACTGCGTACTTGACCTGTCCGGAGATAGCCGAGGAGCTATAACCGCAGGTGTTTAAAAGTCATGAGACCGTACTGTTTGGCATCAACTGGTGAAGTATTACACTGTTCCAATGATACAATTCAATGATACATTCCGATGATACATTCCTATGATACAATCCAATGATACATTCCAATAGATACATCCCAATCAATGATACATCCCAATCAATGATACATTTTCATTGCTTTGGAATCCACAAGAATCCAATGATACAATCCAATGATACATTCCGATAGATACATCCCAATCAATGATACATCCCAATCAATGATACATTGCAATGATACATTCCAATGATACATTCTCATTGCTTTGGAATCCACAAGATTTCCTTTGCAATATCATAAGCCCATACGGGCAAGCAAAAGTTTTCAACCGGAGCAACCCCTGGGGGAAAAAAGACTATATTCATACATATATTTTGAATACAAATGTAGGTTTTGTTTTTGGCACCCTCCGAAGATGGCGCCCGGGGCGGCTGAGCCCTTCCACCCTACGTACGGCACTGGATGTTTATGTCAAATATTTATTTTATTTTTTCTTTGTGTATGGGGGGGGGGGGATTTGGAAGGATCCTCGACATGTGACTGGCGCCCCCTTCGTTTCCTGACGAAATAAAAATGGTAAAAGATGCCCTACTTCTACTATAACTGTTTATATATCACAATGTCAAA